AAATTATCTTATGCAGTGTAGGACTCTATATAAAACCAAAGTATGTTTGCTGATGTTTTAAAATCTTTTCAAACCTTTGAATGCACGAGTCTCTGCCACCTCTTCTCTAAACTGTTCCTCTGATGCCCAACAGGAGGCATCAGAGCCTCATCCTCCTGCAGGATTATGCAAGATCTCTTCCTAACACAAAAACAACCACTTGCTCTTTTGCAATTTCATCCACATCACCCTGTTTCTGAGGGGACGAGCGAAAACCGCCTTTTAGCGCTAATGTGCAATTACTCCTGACAGATCGGCCTTTTTGTTCCCTCACTTAAAGGTTACAAGCATTTTCACATTTATCTGTCTGATCTGTGCGCGGGAGGAGCAGGGAACATTGGCAGCAGCTCTGTCGTCTGCAGCTCCTGTGAAATAAGAACTACACTGAACAGAGGTTTGTGCAGTGACTAAGAGAACCTCCGCCCACAAACAGGGGAAGAATAAACCTTTGATGAGACTTTTTTAAAAATCAAAATCTACAAGATAATATGAGATGAGAAGAAACAAACAATCTCTGGAGCCTCAAGGCTACAATTTGGGTCAGACACAGTTTTGAATGTGATCCTCTGCAGCAGAGACGTTGGAGTATTTCTTTGATTCATCATTTTTTGATTAATAATTCACCGTCGGATGAGACGTGAGATTGAATCTGAGATTTGCAGCGATGAGCTCGTTGACCCTCGGTGATACTCACAGCGTCCTGGAACCCGAACAGCACGACCTGCAGCTGACTGATGGCGGTGCTGTCAAAGTCCAGCTCCAGCTTGAGTTGCGACAGCGTGTTGGCGATGATCTTCCTGTCCGCCATGCGAACGAAGTCGCCCAGGCTGACCACGAGGGTGGAGATGTGCTGCGGCTTCAGCTTCATCTCCTCGGAGCCCTGGAGGTGAGGAAGAGGAGAGGAAGATGAGGAGCGAGGCCATGACGGGCGAGAGGGACGTACACAGGAGCTATGAGGAGCTTTTATTTTTTCATTCTTCGATAGCCAACCTGTGTGAGGGCCTCCATCAGGTTGGCCACCACCTTGTCCCGGTCCTCCGTCAGGATGTGGTGCAGCGTGGCTCGTCTCTCGCTGTCCTTCCGAAGCATAAAGAAACCTGAATCCTTCTCATCCGGGGACGGGGGGGCACTGTGGTCCTCGAAGTTCTCCACAGGAATGCTGAGGAGAATGGAAAACAGAAAAAAAATATTTAAAAACCCTGTTTTACTGTGATAGAAGGCAGCTCTGACCGTGTTTACTCCAGATTAGGAACATGTCTGGGTCTTGTTCTACCTGAGGAAGAGCGACCTGGGCCCCTTGACATCTCTCTCGCTGTAGCACTTGATGCTGGGCTTGAAGATGAAGGGGTTGGTGTTGAGGTCGTTGTCAGGGGAGACGGAGCCGTACTCGCTGCTGCTGCTGGTGTCCTCCACCACCACCGGCACCGGCAGGGAGATGCTGCGGAGGTACTCTGAAGGAAACAGGAAACGCAGGATGAAGTAAACCCTAAATGCTGCAGAGTGCACACACACATAATCAGATTTATTGCCCTGCAGCACAGAGGGACTCTGGAGCAATCAGGAGGAATCAGCTGTTCTCCCATAACAAAGAGCCAAAGCTTTGAAGATGGTGAAATTAGAAATGGTGCGAATGAAATTTGGATTCCTTCTCAGATAAGACCTGAAACCTGATGCTGCTTTATAATCATGAAGAGCTGAATCTGATGCATCTGGCAGGAAATGACACTGTGCATAAATAATAAAACAGGCATTATAAAGGCATCCAAGCATTTGCAAAGAAGCGAGGTTGTGCAATGTGTATTTTGAGTTCCTGGAAAGCTCAGAGTCGTGCGAGGCAGGAGGCCACTGGCAGCAGAAAAATGAAATCTGTAGCCTCCATAGTCGTGAGCAGAGCAGGAGGCAGATGTTTCCTGGAACTGACGTCCTGTTTCTAAAAAAGAAATCCCTCTGGTGGTAAATATGTGTGAGGCAGTAAGTGAAATAACTCACCTGACCCCGGTGACAGAGCTGTGGGGGAAAAACAAACAAAATGTGTGTCAGTGTTTCATCGACAGACAGGCAGAGAAACATTTCCAAGATCTCAGTTGTGCTGCTGCCAGACGACATGAGAGCATCACTGCTGCAGAGACTATTCCGATGGAGCAGGTGGTTTATATTAAAGCTTGGCTCCATATAAGGACACTTTTAGTAATTAAAGCACTATTGGTTGTCAAATTCATCCTTAGTATCATTGGGACTGGATCAAGTATAGTTTTTGTTATTGTGTTTTTTTACTGCCCGTCCATTTAGCTGTTAGTTTGTTTGTTTGTGAGTTAGATGACACAAAAACATTGTTTTCTACAAAACTGAGTGGGCGATAGAGACGCTTTGGCTTCCCTTTTGGGATCGTCCATCTTTATTTACAGTCTCAGGGTTAAACAGGAAACATCAACATGGTCAAACTGCACTGAAGCAGACTCCACCTGTGAAGCTGCCCTTGCCCTTCTTCTTGCGGCTGGTGACGGTGAGGAACTCGTCGGTGAGCAGGTCGAGGGCGGTGGCGCGGTGGTCAGGGTCGGGCTCGAAGCAGCGCAGGATGAAGGCTTTGGCCTCCAGCGACATGGACTCTGGGATCTCGGGATGGATCTTAAACATGCCCACCTGCAGAGGACGGACAGTTCGGACTTCAGACACGTGAAAAGATAAAAACCTTCTGAGCACTCGAGCCCTCACGGTTAATTATTTGATCACCTGCAGCGAGGTAACGCAAGGGTGAGGCGAGAGTTTACCCAGTGAACCACGAGTTTGCTTCAGGCCCGGCGTTCGATCGGGACGCCGGCCTCAGCGCCACAAGTTCAAGTGCGAGACTCTCTCCACAATGAGAAATGCCAGAAATTCCTGTGGTTGGCTGACGAGGAGTGTTGACTTAAGATTAGCAGGGAGATGCCCCTCCCTGGAGAAATTCCACGAGGACGAGCGAAGAGAACATCCAGACGGGAAAAGCCTACAGAGCGTGCGAAGTGCAGACACGGCACGATGACGGACGATCCGACTGAACCTGCAGATCCACCAACGTGTTACTGTACTACAACGTACAGAAACATACGTGTGCTTGTCTGAACTCATCCGAGTAATTAAACCACATTCCTCCATTCAGAGCTTCGACAGGAGAAGCCTCTCAGACCCTCGAAACGCACAGTTACTCTCCCTAATGGGTCACACGAGGAGAAGCAGCTGTTTTAGAATAACAGTTAACCTGAGGAATGATGGGAATCCGTAACCACCGGCGTCTCTCACCTTGAACATGGCGGCCTGCGGTTCTCCCAGTTCATAGAAAGGCGGCTTCCCAGTTGCCATTTCGATGATGGTGCAGCCGAGAGACCAGATGTCCGCTGGTTTACCGTATCCCCGGGGACCCTTGTCTATAATTTCAGGAGCCATGTACTGGAGCGTGCCTGAAAAACACCACACACACACAAAAAACACAACAACACACTGAAATATTTAACGTAGCCATAGTGCATCAGTGCATTTTCCACAGTTTCAAAGTCTGTGTTGTGAATAAAGTGACGTCAGGAGTTTATGAAAGAAGCTGAAAATAGATTCCATTAGGACTAATTACCGGTTCCCTCTGTCCTGAGGTGACGACACAGTTCTTTCAAACCAGTCGGGTGACAAAAGCTCTACGCAGCTTACGTTGTGTGTTTGAGCTGCAGTGAAGAGCCTCTCTGTGCTTTCACCGTAATCACAGTCCAAAGTCACATTTCAGCTTCCATTGAAAGGACTCTTTTGTTCTAATAATAACCCGCTGCCTGCATGTGTGCTGCTTTTAGAAGCCACTCACTGAGCTAAAAACAGAAGGGGACACATTAATAGCAGGGCCGGGCTTTAAAAAAGGCGGAGCCCGGTTTCCTGAACGAGGGTGAGTCCCTGTCTGCACCAATCGGCTGTCAGATTGGTAACTACTCCAAGAAGTCAAACTGAGCCGCAATTGGCTGCAGCCTTGGCGGCATCGCGGGGCCGCAAACCTGCCAAAGCCGACGTGTCTGAATAGCAACCGTGAGCTATTTTCGGTGATTTCACTCACAGAGGCTCTGAAACTGGGACAGTTTGTGTTATTTTTAGTGTGTCCCCGCTGAAAGGGAGTGATTCAGTGTGTGGGTCAGTGGGTCAGCGGGTACCTGTGAACGTCTCAGTGCAGGGGTTGATCCCGGCCAACCTCTTGGATGTGCCGAAATCGGATATCTTCAGCACGCCGCTGTACGTGTTGATGAGCACGTTATCACCCTGCAGATTGAAAAGACAAACAGTGAGAACAGATATACGACCGAAACCGTGAAAGTGTCGAGACCTCAAAGGGAGGCGCTCGCAGGGTGCAGCGACTTGTATTTGGGGGAGGACGATGGTCTCTGCCAAAACAAGGTGATTAACATTTAACTGCTGCTGGTTATGCTTATACGAGCGTGCTGTTAAATCAGCCGGACGCTCGGGGAAGTACTGCAGATAATGATGTCTGCGATGGAGGCAGTGTGTGTTTGTCATAACATGACATAACAAGGAGATCCGCTCTTATGTAAAGCACTCTGACGCTGAAATGTGCAAATAAAACCTACCTAACTATATAAATCAGCTGTTGTTGTTATTATTTTTTAATTTACCCATTTTTTTAAAGTTTCAAATCACAGTATTTTATCTTAAAAAAATATAATGTGTAATCAGTGTGAATCGAAGAAGCGTCTGAAAGCAGCCTGGCAGAATATGAAGCAATGATAATAAAATCTAAGATGATCCTCTCCCTCAACTCTCTGAACAATATCCTTCTGATAATTATCCTGCAATAAGGCACAAAGGTCATTAAAACCTCAGTCACATCATTAATTCTACAATAACTTGTGCGTGGTTACTTTGATGTCTCTGTGTGCGATCTGGTTGTCGTGCAGGTACTTGAGCCCCTCGAGGATCTGCCGCGTGTAGAAGCCGATGGTGGGCTCGTTGTTTTTCAGAGGGCCCCACTTGGACCTGAGCAGCGCCGACAGACTCCCTGCACAACAAAAAAAACATAAACACACTCGCTCTGACCTGAGATTAGCAGCACGGGGCTGATTAGTCCGCTACTCAAAGCCCCTGGCATCAGGATTAGGAGGTTGCTCTGACACAACCAGCAGTTTGTTCCAGAAAAGCAGTTTTACTGTGATTATCAGTGCTTTGACAGGAAAGTTTTGTTTATTAGCTAAACTTTTTTTTTGCGTGAACGGTCGTCTCACCTCCGGGAACCTGCTCCATGAAGATCTTGATGAAGCCGTTCTCGCTGAGGGAGCCGAGGTACTGGACGATGTTCTTGTGCTTTAAGTGCTTGTGGAGAGCGATCTCCTCGTGGAGCGGCTGAGAGTACCTGCGTTGAAGAGTTTATGGAAATTACACGGAAATATGTAATCTACATAGATGAGGTCAAGTACGGAGAACCTCTACGATGACTGCATGAGGGGTCTCGATTTTAAGATGAAGATGCATTAAAACGTTTCATTTGAAAATATGATGATTGTAGATTTTGTTATTCTAAAGGTTGACTACTAATATTATGTTAAACTACACATTAGACATGTTCATTATAACTAAATTATAACCAACTACTTGGTTTATATATGTCTATATCTGTATATCAACAAATCCATAAACCCAGGATTCTTTAAATGTCTCATTTTTTCCAAAAATCAGTCTTAAAACCTGAAAAACATTCATTTCATCTTTGAAGATGAAGGAAACCTTTATTTATTTACATATGAGAACATATATAACAGAAGACTGAAGCGTAGAAACACTTGATATCTGTTCCCAGCAGCAGGTAACTGTGTGTGTGTGTGTGTGTGTGTGTGTGTGTGTGTGTGTGTGTGCTGGACTTTGTCCTCGCAGCAGTTTCTCTTCACATGAATCTCTCTGCATGAATCACACCCTCCGTCTCTCTCTCTCTCTCTCCCCGTCTCCAGTTTTGAATCCACTGGTGAATTATTTACCCAAATTCTGCACATTCTTCTCAGCTGAGCGCCCTGCTGACTCGCTGATGGGAGTCAAGTCTGCGACGAGCGGGTGGAACGACGAGGGGAGAGATGGACGGAGGGAGTTTGTTCTCCACTAATATAATAATAATAATAATAATAATAAAAAGCCATGTTGTCTCTCCTGCTCACCTGCTGTCTTTCTCTGGGATTTCTTTGATGGCCAGTCGGACCTGGTTGCTGAGGTCCCGGCCGGCGTACACCACCCCAAATGTGCCTTTTCCCAGAACCACCCTCTCTCCGTGCTCGTCGTACTCATAGTCGTACTGTGGAGACAAAGACAACTAACATGAAACTGGGATTTGTGTTGGGATGTTTGATATATTATCTTCATATAAACAACTGTAATCCCAACACACAACATCTGTTTGTTCACATAGAAACAAAAAAAAAAAGGACGTCATAGTTCAGGACACATTTACTTTTCTATTACCGTTAATAATATAAATGAATTTACATCCAGTACTTCGCAGGATTATTCTATTCTCCCTCTTGTAAAATCCAGTCGCAGTATTTCCTTCCTGTTTTTCTGACACCCCCCCTTAATCCAAACAAATTAATCTGATTAGCATTTTGAATTTGTAATCAGATTACCTTAAACCTGCTACATTGGTTCCTCAGTGAGTAATTCACAGTTATGTTCTTTTCTGCCCGACACACGTGATTGAAGTTCACGACCCTGGTTTGAGGACAGGTTGTGTTACAGAGAGGCGGCTGAGGCCTGCGGACGAGCCGAGGGTGGATTCGGGACGATGATAAATCAAACACTGAGAGGAACCTGTGAGACATCTGATACGAGCCGTGCAGAGTCGAAGAGGGTGCGGCCGTGTTTTGGGTAATTAGATTTTCTTCTCCCGAGGCTCCACTGGGGAGGGAAGCAGGTGAGAGCAGCAGCAGCAGGTGTCTGTTCTGAGCCGTCAAAGCACTGCAGCTAAATTCATTCACTTATCACCGGATTACAAAAGCAGAATGCTAAACTAGAGTTCACGCCGGATTAAAACGGATCAGTTCAAATTGTGAAACCTTTTTTTCTTTTGGTCTTTTGATGGAATAATTTTAATTAGTGGCATGAAGAAAAACTTGCAAATCCATTGTTGATTTAAATTAATTAATTGATTTTCTTCTGTCAGAAATATCAGATTTCCTTCGACATATTAAGAACATGGACGAAATATGAAAAAATATTACGTATTTTGCTGGAGGAAAATTCCACGAGCAGTGTTTTTGGTCACAGACGGTAAAAACAACACCAGGCCAGGTAGTGTGTTAACAGCACTACTGTTTGGATTCCTGTTCCTCAACAGAATCTGATATCAGCACTTTGGCCTTTAAGTCTTTGACAGTTTGACATTAAATCACCGACACAAAAGATTCTGCTCTGAGACTGAAACCAAATCTTGGTTTAACGTGACAAAGAAGTAAAATCCAGTCTTCTCACCTCCAAGGCGTCGTTGTCACAGTCTCCTTCCTCTGGACCTTTCCACGTCTCCTCAGTTATGCTGTTGACCAGATCACAGAATCTACCAGAGAAAAGTTTGGTTAGTGTCGTGTTCGTTAAATACAGTGGAAATCACTGAACAGCAGATTATAGTCACACAGTGTTTTAACATCGACAGCATTTAAATTTCAGCTTCGAGCGTGTTTGTCAGGTTGTCGGACTCATTGTGACGATGATGACGACTGAACAATACCAGCAGTTATCTCTGTTTTAATAGAAACCTGGGAAACACCACAAAATAATCTGAAACAGTGCAGCTGGCGTTTAAGAATATTCAGAGGAGCCTTGACAGCTTCTGCGTTTAAAGTGTTAAATTTAGATTTTCAGGTTCACTGTGATAAACTGCACAGTACGAACACGTTCCTGCAGAAACCTGTGGGAGCAATAAATCAAAAATCTAAACCTCTACAGCCTGCATTTCTAAATTTATACTTTCAGCACGTGGTGCATCGAGGACACGTCTAAATCTGACAGGAAAAAAACATTGCTGCACCGGGTTGTACTTGGTTTAACTCTGGATGGGTGTGTTTTGGGCGTAACCAATCACAGTGCCTCCTCCCATTCCCTGCAAAAACCAGCTGTGCTTGCACCTTGTTGGATTGTTGATTTACAAATTCAGTTAATTTTTATTTAGTGGCAGTGAATCTGTCTCTGCAGAGGAAACATGAGCAGATGTTGTGTGTGTGCACTGAGCACCACCTATGTAGGTGCATTTATTAACAATCATCCTCGAAGGAGACATATTGTGCTCATACTTATGATGATTATTTTTAATAGTGTTGTTATTCGGTTTCATTAATGTGTGTGATTTGTGTCGATCGCAGTAGCAGCGGCTTTCTGCTGCCTCTCCTCGCACACACCCACCTACGCTCAGGTGGGCGGACACTTCTTGACGTGTGGACAATTCACACGTGTTGTCTCAGATCCATATTGTGATTGAGTGGCTTTATTTACAAGCTGGCGGAGTGATCCAGAAGAGGTTAGAGTGTGTTTACACGCACACGTCCCACACACACATGTACAGTTATTGACCTTTACCGCTCCCACCGAGCACAAGCTGTGAATCAGTCGCCTCACACGACATGCCTGCAGGTGTTTGCAGATACACGTGTGCCAATCATGCATATGCACAATTACACTGGATCGCTTCCACCTTTCAAGCACCATTTATTTTGTTCCACTCTCCCACCCCACTGTCACTCCTTGTTCCTCAGTATGAAGAGGAAAGCAGCATCGCAACAACAGCAGGCATGACTCACTGACTCTCACACTCCGGATAATGGAACTGGAAGTGCTCGGGAGCCTCTGATGTGATAGTCACAAGTCTGAACAGTCAGCAAGTGAGGAACGCGCTGGTGTCGACGTGAGAGAAGGTGCGTTAGCGGTGAGAGTGAAGGTGAGAAACTTCCAACCTGAGAGCAGAGCTGACGAGAGCGTCTGAGCTGCAGCAGCGATGAGGTGAACTCACCGAGCAGGAAAGAGTCTGTGATTTGGAATCTTAATGATCAAACGTAATGAGATGTCGGATCTTTATCGGATTTTTATTTTACATATTTAATCTAAAATCTCTATAAGTGATATTGTTTTTTTAGTAATGACGGAGTTACAAACATTGGTAATCTGTAAGTAATTGTTTAATAAATATTGGATATTGGTTTGGAAGTGTACCTCATTAGAAAGTATATCTACAGTAACTGGATCCTAATGTTTATGTGACAGCAGTGAATTATCAACCTGCAGTAAATAAATATCTCAACCGGCATCGAATAAACTTTAGATGCAGAAGAACTTTAGGTTTCTGACTCATAGAAATCCAATAATTTACATTTCCAGAGTCTCAAGAAAAATATTTTTTCCACTTTATTCCACTTTGCACATATTGTTTGTCTTTATTTCATTCTGTTTTTATTGTACGTTTACTCTTCTATGACTTTGTTCTGATCTCGTTTGCTGCTGTAACACATATTTCTCCGTAGTGGAAGAGACGGACCGACCTTTTGCAGTGCATCTCTGTGCAGAAATAGATCTGGAAGTCGTCGGCATTGTGCAGGACGTAGAGGAAGGCGCTGCGCTCGTCGAACTTGCTGATGCTGAGGAGAAAGAGTGCACAGTTAGTCCAACAGTTACCTCATCAGAGCGAGGCTGACTCAGAATGAAAGAGGCCTTTCACATGTCTCGTGACATCAGCCATCAAATCTCTGAGACCGATGAAAAGACCGTCTGTCACTCCATCAAAACACGAAGCCCACTACACGTGGCAACTACAGGATTTACTTGTGGATATTTAGCTTTTGTCATATTGTGAGTTTGAGCTGCAGATTGTTTCAGGCAAATTCTGCAGCTTAAACATACAGAAATATTTAATATTAAATATAGTGACGCTGAATTTCTGCACAAAAGACAGACAGAGCTTCGACTCATCAACCAAATTGAAACGTTTATCCACTGAGATCGAGCGCTCGCCCGGTTCTGCCGCGGCCGAGCCAGACAGCGGAGCGCAGTGTGCGTGTGGTCGTATTGTCGAGCTGCGATTGTGTCCTGCTGACTGTCTGCAGGCTGAGAGGAGAGTGAGTGGTTCCCTAGCAACGCATGAGCACGGCCCTCCGCTCTCTCTCTCTGATCTGACATTGAATTCCTTTGAGGGGCCGTGGAGAAGCAGATGCAGAGCAAGACATCGTCTGTGGTGTTCACGGAGCACTCTGGTTCGGTCTGGAGCTGTGTGAGGTGAAGTGACAGTAACGCACAGCACAGATCCGCTCGCTCTCCTGTTATTTATCTGCACATCATGTGGGAATTAAATCAAATGCTTCTACCAGAGATTTTGTGCTGCGATACTGATACAAATTCATGTCATGGCTCTAATGTGACTCTTACATAGACTAACAAAAATAGTTTGGAAAATCTAAATACTCTGTATGTGCATGTTAACTGGATGTTGTGTGTTGTTTCCTGTTAATGTCTCTATTCTGCTTCTTCTCTTTTTACTCAGTTTACTTTTATATGCACTGGTGCAATTGTTGCACATCAGCATTCGACTTTAAATGCAACTTTAATGACAAATGCAACTGCCCTTTTCTCTCGGTAAATACAGGATCATTTAAACGTTTTTCCCGACCCACCACCTGCAAAGATAAATTGAAACCCGTCCCCCTGTGGAGAGACGTGTGAGGTTACTGTGACATCTCTCAGCTGTAACTCGAGCGCGTCAGTAGAGACAGGAGACACTGACCTGACACCTCGAACCAATGTGGCGCTGAAGTTCCACTCATAAATTCCTTTGTTCTGCAGGAAGAAAGATTCAAGAAGAAATAATAACATCACTGCAGCTTCAGGGAGAAGATAAACTAATGTAAGACACTCTGCTGACTGATGGTCGTATCACAGCGGAAGCACGACTCCCAAATATGTTGAGGGACCTTACGGTGATAAAAAGACATTAGTGGTTTTATTGCATTGGTTGTGGCGCAGGAAATAAATGAAAATATGACGTCGGTGTTGCTGATGCTGCAGGATCGGTTTCTGGAGAGCAAACGATTTATCTGCTGCACAGATATCATACAATACGATGAAGATGAGTCAAACGTGAGCAGAAATAAGAGTCAATAGAAAAATCATCATCCATCAATTAACTTGCTAACTGTGATGCGACCTTCAGTTTTATCATCGCTTGACCGAGTAGATCATGTAAAGCATCAGTTTTGTTGCCGTGGCTACGTTCAGCATCAGTTGAAGGATGCCCGGCTGTAGACGACGTGGTTTTACTGCAGGAGGTCACCCACCTTGTCGTCCGGGGCAACGTGCCAGATCGACACCGTGTTGTCATCCACGTCTTTGTTTATGGACAGATACGAAGGCTGGTACACTTTCGTTGGCTCTAATATCAAAACCTGGAGACACGGAAACAAACTTATTTTAACTCTCTTCATCTGTAAATCCTCTCCATTGCTTGGCCCAGTTTCCTCGACTCGTGTCACTCACAGGAAACCGGACAGAGGACACGTCCTTCTTGGTCGCCTCCACCATAAAGTCCATCCAGAAATCCACCAGCTCCTGTTTGGGGGCCGGCTGCTCCACACCGGGCTTCTTGAAGTGCTGATATATCAAGATGGTCTCCACCAGCGAGCGCAGGTACCTGAGACCAGCCGCAGACACAAGAAGGGTTAATCCAGCGTGCTCAGAAATCCAAATCTTTATTTTTTTTACCAAATGTTCTGAATAACTGAGCAGAAGAAGAATCATAAACTCAAACGATGCTCCATGATTGTGTTTCCATGCTGGGTAACATTTGTCTTCATGACATAAATGGAAACCTAAAGAGTTTTCACAGCACAAACACAAATAAAGAACAGCAGGGACTTAACACACTGCAGTGACAGAGCTGCAGACAGTTCACCGTTCTCCTGCACACGATATGATCCCGTCTGCAATGAATTTAACATCTGAAATGATGTCACAAAGACCATTAAGCTATAAAAGGATTCTGGGTGCATGTAGAGATGTTCAATTAACGTTCTTGGGTGTTATATTTGCTATTTATCAGTTTTTACACATCGATATTTTCTGTTTTTCCATGAGAAACACGCTCGACGCTTGCACAATAGCCAAACTGTGGCTGCAAGACAAAACAAGACCGAGCACAGGAACACATCACCGCGGCTGAGACACAGTTGGTGATGGATGTGGGCTTTCTGCGAGCTAATCCGAGAGCAGCTCCGACGTGTCCTCACCAGATGGGGGCTTTGAGTTTGAAGAGTTTCTCAGAGGCCTGGATGACCCTGGTGTTGTCGCAGGCCAGGATGCTGGCGCCCAGGAAGAAGCCCACATCCCAGTAGCTCTGCAGCTTGTCCAGGCTGCCTTTTTTACCCAGCAGGCTGCTCAGCTTCACCCCTGGAAAACAAGACGACAGACAGAGGCATGTAATCCTCTTTGTTGTGTTTCCACTTGGACCGTCCCCAACTGAGATTTCCAGTAGATGAGATAGTGAAGCAGAAACATGCAAACTCTGCATGGATGTGCCACAACACGCTTTAGCTTTTCTAATTTGTCACTGATCCCAGAAAGGATTGAGAGATACTAGTTACGATGTTCTTGGGTTCTGCTGAGAGGAGCTGCTGATACATGTCCTGCACAGTACGCTGCTGCGGGAATCTACCATTTGTGGAGTCAGGGTGGGGGGGTCACCGGGATGAGTGTAGGAGTGAGCAGGGTCTACAGGGACGGAGGGGGGGGGGCTAAATTATGGAGCTGCAGACAGTTTCCCAGGACCGACTGCTCCGTTTCCCACATTCCTGAGCTTCTCTGAGCCGCATGGCAACAGGCATGAATATATATAACCTGATTCTCCTTGATATTTTGATTATTAATCACTTCTATAATGCAAAGGATCCCACGACTATGTCTAATGTGAACGGGGACGAAGCTCAAGTAGCTTTTAAACTTCTTTCAGCGAAGGAGGTCATGTTTTCACTGTGTCCGTTTGTTTGTCAACAGGATTACACAAAAACTAGGAAACACATTTCCACCAAACTTGGTGGAAGGATGAATGACGGCCCTGAAAACAAACCACGATCAAGGAATCTTCTTCTAACCCTTTCTTTATCATTGCAAGGTGCACGATCCGCCTACTGGGATGTGGGATCAGGAACCTGGTTTCAGTATGAATGGAACCGTGGGCACGCACTGCAGCGTGAGGTCGTTATACTTAAAGTGGCTATAAATAATAATTTAATGCAAACCGTTAAAATAGCAGCTTTCCTTTTGTAAAAGCTGAGTTTGTCACGGTGAAGAGCTGCGTCAGAGCAAGGACACGGCGGAGATTTACTTCTCAGTGGTTACTCAGCAGGTTCAGTGTAGTAAAGTGAAATGCAGCGTATTTAGGTGAAAGACACCCACATAATATCCACTCCAGCTTCTACTCACCCACTTTGCGGAGCTCGAATGACGTGTCAAACTGATGTCCGGCTGCCAGGAGGAGAACAGCATAGTTGATACCGGAGTGCAGCGTCGGCTCTGACTCAAAACCCTTTTTAAACCTGAGGTGAGAAAAAAAAAAATTACTGCTTCATTCTAAATCTCTGAGATGAGTTCTCGAGGCTCCCAGAGACACGTCAACTCAAAAAAAACCCAACAACAATTACAACCATATTGAGTTGAGGGCCACAGAGAAGCTGACAACAACTGTGAGCACCCGAACAAAACAAGACATGGAATTAATTTAATGACCAATCTGTTCTACTGAGGGAAGTGACAAACAACAGCCAGATGGGAGCTTGATTATCCACGCAGCATGTTCAGGCGACAAAGATATGAGATCTTAAAATCAAATTCCAGAAGGAAATGCCCTCACTCAAGTTTAATACTCTCTCACCACAGTGCGCCGTTGTCTCTGCTCTGCGTGTCGGTGAAGTGAGACTCCAGGAACGTGTCCTTGTAGATCCGTCCCACCAGGCAGTAGATGTCCGAGGCTACATTCTCCTCGTCCTCCACCAGGGGCAGCATGATGTCCAGGGCTTTCTGTCGGTCACCTGGCAGGTTCCTCCTACACACACACACACACACACAGCGAGCGTGCATGTTTAGAAATGAAAGTTTTGACATTTTTGAACTTGAGTGCCTGCAGCAGTGAAGCATGGAACGAATCCCATTTCAGAAAGTATATTTGCAGACGTGTGCCAGTGGAATCCTGGGTATTTGGTTCCTAATCTTAAAGGGTCACTGCACCAATTTAAAAATTTTATGAGCCAAGAAGTCTGTCTCTAAATTAATGGAATTGCTAAATCATGCACATTTACTTTGAAAGAGACATATTCAACAGAATGAGATAATAAATGTTCTTTCTCTTCCACGGTCCATGTAACAGATCAACGTGTGAACACTCCCTTTAATTACTTTCTATTAGACTGATGGCACAGTGAGAGTTTCAGTGACATTCCACATCACAAAGGGTGGAACAGGTGGCACCTTCTCCTGCTTCACAACAATGCAGCAGTTACACAACAACATGTAACACAACACCGAACCTGCAGTTGCTTCACATGTCTCCATCCACTCGAGGACGTTTTGTCTGACTTTGGGGCCCGATGCCAAAAGAGGTAGTCAAAAGCATATTTATAAAAATAAATAAACTGGCAATGATTCCTAAGACGTTACTATCAAACCCTCAGGACGAAGAAATGTACTGGAAATAGTCCAACCGTATATTTAGTTTACAGTTTGTTGTGTTTTCACATGTGCAGTATATTCGGTAGTACTCTGTAAGTGAACTTCATGTATTATCAATAATAAGATTCTTGATAAACACTAATTTGTACATAGTTTAAATATACTGTACAGTCTAGATAATAATATGAATAATATGAAATCTGAACCTTTATATTATCGGCTGCATAACAGAGTGAATCAAAACAGCAAAGTGTGTGTGTGTGTGTGTTTGTGTAGCTAGGTAACTGTTGGACAGCTTTTGTTGTGCGACATGATACTTGGCACAGACGAGGCCATTAAGAGCCCGACTTAAATTACACAGGTTACTTGGTTGGTTTAAAAAAAAAAAAAAAAGCTGAGGCTGCATCTGTACGACCGCGGGTCATTCAGGTCCAGAGAGTTCTGCTGTAACTCACCTGTAAGAACTGATCCAGGCTGTTTAATGAGCATTCAGAAGGAATGAACATCTCGAGCAGATAATAAGTTCTTTTTCATTAACGTCTGTTCGGTGTCCTGTGAAAACAAGTTTTAAGCTTCTGCTGAGTTGGAAAAAAAACTTAATAAAACAGACATGAAGTTTAACAACATAAGAACTCAGCGTTGGCCAATAAAACTATAAATCTATCAAATTTGGATTAAAAGTCTATAAAATTAAACTTGTTAATTTATGGGAGTAGATTTAATTATAGCAACTCTGCAATAAATCTGCTTCAGTGGAGGCTGTAACTTTAAATTTATGTTTTGCTATTGTGTGATGTGGTCGTGAGCAGCAAAGGGCCGAGATCTGCACAAAAACTTAACAAACTTACGAATAAAAGCCTCCTAAACATCATTGATTCGATTTTTTTCCTTCAATATTCACGAAATCGTATCTGAGACATCAAGGAAAATGTTGAAAAATGTTGAAAACAGAACATCCTGGATCTGAACCAAAAGTTTTAATGGGTTCTCCGTTGGGTCGTGTCGCAGACGAAAACAGAACCATCTTGGCAGAAAAGCCACTTGAGCTGCATCACATGTCAGAATCGTTAATATCCATGATATATATCAATCAGTGGGGATAAAACATTCATATACGTTCTATTCAACATATGGAGCTTTAATATCAACAAAGGTCATTGAGGGCTGCAGGAAAATCACTTTCCTCCTTAACGATGCTAATTTATGCATCGAGCTGTTGCATTGTGGGGGATATTTTTTTTGTTCTGAGGTTTAAAATTCCCCTCATTTCAATCCTCAGACTTCAGAGAGAAACGACTGTTGTTCTCCTGCAGAGTCTCACACAGGCACAGAGCGCGAGTGTCACAGAGGAGAATCCTCACGAACAGAATGTGGCTTCTCTCCAGAGCACGAAGGTTAAATAAAAAGTGTGAGCTGACAGCTATTACTATGGAGACCGCCCAGAGGGAAGAGCCGAGACGAGACCTGCTCCCTCTCTCTCTCCGTCTTCCCTCTCCTCTCCAGAGGGCCGATGGGTATTTGGACGGAGGAGATTCTCGCTCAGTCAGACTCCGAGCAGCATTCCACAGTCACGTGTCTGGTGCCGCAGAGATAATTAGTCAATGCTCACTTCGTCCCTGCAGATTCATTTAGAAGACGAGAACCGACTTAAGACGAACCGCTGAAAATTGATTCAGACAAACTCCACTTCAGTTCTCTCGCGACGTCGTGAGAGATCTGATGCACGACGGAGACAGAGCCTCGGTCTTTAACACCAACGTGACAAAATATCTGAAAAACCCTCGGACCAGACAGTAGCTGCAAACACGCCGGCATCTTGGCACAAACATTTTCCAGCCGCTGCCAAATAACAGAACAGCAAGTTTTTATTGCCGTTTGAGGCGGCAGCACCACGAAAACCACGGGAAGTTTACAAGACAAGCAGCTGGTGAGAAACAGGCGGTTGAAACCTCCTGTGATGTACACGGGTCTTTTTCCTGTGTAGCAGTAACTGTACACATGCTACTAATAATATCGCTGCTGCTTGGGAACCTGCGTTGAAAAAGGAGAGAAACTAATGAAACTCTTTCAACTCGTAAAGTCACAAATGCAGAAGCTCGCTCGCAACAACACTTTATGATTCACTCCTGCTGCTTGTTTGATTTCAGCTGAGGATCCTAAAGCAAAGACAATATTATCTGATCTGACAAGCTGAATGCAAAGAGAGTATTTCTTTCACTGCACTGATCGTTTTCTTTGGTCGTGTCCACGTCATCGTCCTTGAAAAATTCCACTGATGTTAAAACCAGTTTAAATCAGGTTCACATAGAGGCGTGAAAATAACCGATGAAGAATCGAGAAGAAGAGGAAGAGATTATTATTCTCTCTCTCTATCAATTTGTTTATTTTCAATAAAGGAGCAGTGGATCAAATGGTTCGTCACAGAAAAGGTCATTGAATAATAAATAAATAAATAAGGGAGGAAATAATTAAAGAAATAACGAAAGGAGCTAACGATGTACCAATTAGGACCTGCGGAGCCAAATCCTCAATCGTCCCCCTTCAAATATGTCTAATTATAAATCAGGTGGTGTCAGTAAGTGTCACTGTGTGTGTGTTGTTGTGTTGTGAAAGTTGCCGTCTCTCACCGGTTCAGTGCAAAGGCGTAGTGGAACTTCACGTGAGGATGAGCCACGAGGTCAAAGGTCGGGAGCTTCTCCAGCGTCTCCACCAGCTTCACGATGGACTCGTAATCCTGGACGACAAGTGAGGGACACACCGGTGAGCTCCTGTTTCACTCTCATCATCATCATCGCTTAGCATTGTGGGACAGTTGTGTCTGAGCAACACTTAGAGGCGCTGTGAGGCCAGGGCGGGGGGGGGGGGGGGGGGGGGGGGGGGGGGGGGGGGGTGTCTGATGTCTCGACAGTCTGATGGACACCAAACGCACTTCAATTATTGAGTGGCCCCTTCATCACATTTTTGTTGCTCCTACTTGCCGACATCGTCACTATACCCAAAGCACGTTGAATAATTCAGCACGTCCACATCGCTTGTTGTTCTAATGAATGATTTATGAGGCTGAGCGCTGCCTATGGTGAGTGGGAGGATCTGGACAGCGAGTGTCTTCACAATGTGGAAAGACTAAAGAGCAAAGACGAGCTGGAGATTTGAGACGAGCGGACGAAAAAGCTTCGCCCGGAGCTCTCTACGGGCAGCGAGAGGTCCGAGGCAGGGACGGGGACGAGGCAGGGAGCTGTCTCCAGGTTGTACAGTATGTTTATACAGTGGCTTCCTCTGCCAAGGACATCAACACACACACACACACACACACACACACACACACACACACACACACACACTAATAATCCCTCATAGTTTATCCTTGGAAACTCGTGGGAGGTTCGGCAGAAAGTTTCTACGTGCGCTTCTCTAAAGAGAAAAAGTACAGTAGATGGATTTTTCCGATATATTGAGATAATACAAGACGGAGACGGTGAGAAAAGCTGCTGGTTCCGTTTTATTTTGGTAAAAAAGAAATAAATATAGAATGCGTGGATTCGTCAGGCTCTTGTCACATGACCACCTCCAGAAGGAAGTTGTTGTCTTTGCTAACAGTTATGTTAGATCACAGCGACACACCAACTATGTATGTCAAAGTAATCGTACATATGGATCCAGCCTCAGAAAAACACTTTGGGCGTGTATGACGACCCAGGTTTCTCCCTGGTGGGAGGAGTCTGGTCGTCAGGTAGATTCACGTCAGCTGCTCTGGCTGCTCTATATAAGCTGGTGGCATTCAGGGAGCCCCCCTCCCCCACCCACGGCTTCCAGAGCATTTGAGACAACTTGAGGTAAGAGGAGGTTTTTGTTTGGAGCAGTTCGACGCAGTTTGTGTTGAGGTTGCAACACGAGCTGTTAAAATGTGTTTGGGAAATATCCAAGTGAGTGTGATGGGAACAGTTATCTCGTCTTCGTGATACTCCATTTTATTTTAGGCTCTTGTTGGACCCACTGGGCTTTTGGTTTTTTGTTCTGTTGGTGGTTTTTAAATGTAAATGAATTTCTATGGTCTGACGGCTCTTTCTGAACAGACCTCTGTGCAGGAGTCTGACGGAAGGAGTCGTCACGTAGATTCATCTCACCTGGTCCGGCTGCTGAACGTCAGCTGGTGAAATCCAGCCAGTGACGTCCATAGGATTTGATTTGGTTGTAAATTGTTGTCTTTGTGATAAATAAACCTATTTTAAAGTCAAAACTTTTGTGGTCTTCACTTATTTTAACTTGATAAAAAAACAATATTACTCATTTTTCCAACTATAGATTATTACAATATAGAAAATGTTTGGTTTGAACAAAGACACTAAAGATGTCATCTCTGAACTTTAACAGTTTAACTTGCTGCAAACTGTAAATTTGTTGTGACTTCTGTCTCTTCCTTCCTTCTCCTATATTTTCCACTCTCTGTTCATCAGGTTTTAAACTTGCAACCCTTCTTATTCTTTTAAGTCACAGTTGATCCTTATCGTTTCAAAGCAAACGAGGTGGAAGCATTTTATTATGAAAACTTATTGGTGGTTTACAACAAAAAGGAAGTTTGTTTTATAGCAAGAAGAGGGAAGCCGTCACTGTGAATTGAGTTAAACCTTAAGTTAAACAAATATTACCTCGGCTTTTAACCGTCTCTACCTTTACCTCATTTGTATAATTGACTAAGTTGTCTACCTGGATGTCCCTGTACGTCAGCAGCAGGTTGATGACGATGTCGACTGAAAGGCACTCTACGTTGTCCAGCCGCTGTTGGATCCGGCTCAGCTCGGCGGCCAGCTCCATGCCAGTGTACAGCTCCCGAGCTTTCCGGATCTCGTTCAGAATCGTCTCACGGAAATACTGGCTGGAGGACAAAAACCACTGGTTAGAAGTTTGACCTGCCTCAGCTGCACTGTTAGATTATTACAGGATTCATGGTGTCGTGTTCTTCAGCTGTTTACAGAGGTAATATTTCAAATGTTTAAATATTTCTAGTAAAGATAAGGAAATGAAACAAACATCATATTAGAGTATTTCTTTAATTCCATAGATTGTGACTGCAGAGGCCGAAACTAATGAACTGAAGGTTTCAAATATATTTTTATATTTTCAAGAGGAAAAACAAACTGGAAATGTATTTTCAGATTCTATTTGTTTTTCTTAAATGCACATTAAATTGGCAATAGAGCCCCTTTTTAAAATGTGAAGCTAAAATGGCTACAGTGAGTATTTTCGTGCATGTTTACTAAAGATCGTTTGAAAGTGCTGCATTTAATCCCATGAAATAAGAAGTAGCACTCGAACTTTATTCATCGTGCATCAATGAATATCATGATCATGTTGGAAGGTGGGAAATCAGCTCTAGTGCAAGTACTGACAAGATTAAAGTACAAATTATAACCAGCACATACTCTTATTTGTATAATAAACCAGTTTTTGTGTATAACTAACTTTTTAAATAAGGAAATAGACAAAGAACCGTTTTTTAATTTCCACCAAAACTCAGTCAACATAATTTTAAGGGCACATTTACTCTTTGCATTCAGGTCATATTCCAGTGATGCTTAAAACTAGCGTGCAGGAAACTGGGGCTCCATCAAAGTGTGTTTTGAGTCACTGTGGCTGGAGCAGATCTTCGATCTCTCTGGCAGCTCCACCGGCTGTTGGCAGGAAAGCCTGAAATATTACTGCAGCAGCAGAGGTGTAAATGTGCTTTCAGAGCTGAGGGAGGCAGCGCATTAAAAATAAGTACAGCAAGTAAAAATGGGACGAGTGGGACAATAAACCCAAAGAGAAACTGTCTCTAAACAAGAATAAAAGTGAACATCAAGTCTTTTTTTTTTTTTTGTAACTACTTATTCCAGCTGGTTGTGTTTCTGGTTGCAGTTATTTCAGAGCAGTGCATTGTTTAGCATTCCAACATATGTGCTATATTCTAGTCACAGTTCTGTATATCTCAATATTATGTTTTATTAAATATTAAAAGCATAAAATCCTTTGGTCCAGTCCATCATTATCCCCTGTTGGCTCGACTTACTGGGAGTTGGCTTGTGACACCTTGAGCAGCTGGATGAAGCGGTCCAGCAGGGGCATGCAGATGGGCCCCAGCAGCATCTCAAAGCTGGGCTGCATCAGCTCCGTCAGGCCCTTCATCAGGCTGCTCTCACAGCAGTACACCTTGTTGTGGGGCGTCACCATGTACGGGATGAAGGTGTAGTTGGCCGAGCACGTCTGTTGATACAAGAGACGCAGGGTTGGAAACCATCAGAGGTTTCCTCAGCATTGTGGGTTTGGTGTGAAAGAGGCAGAAGCGATAAATGTAATTTGTACCTCTGCTGCGGAGGATGTGTGTTTGTGTGTGTGTGACCTGAGGTTTTTGATGTGTTTTAGACTGTTAAACATTTAATAAGTCACCAACTTCCTCAGCAGATGTAATTTCTTATGCTGGCTTAGAAGTTAAAGTATCAATAACCAAACTTAGATTTTAGTGTTCTCGGTAAAAAGAAAATCCTTTAAGTACCAGGTGTACATTTATATTACAGTAGAATACACAGCTTCACTGAACAATTACCTCGTCTGAACTTTCTTTGCATCGTCTGACTCTACAGACGCTGTATAGGAAAACATAACAATGCATGTGGAGGAAGCAGTTTTCGTTGTGGACGTCTGAGACATTTCCCCCGTTTCAGACTCTGATCTGGCGACACCAGTCTAAACAGGCAGCTGCTGGGTGGAGTGATCTGCATCACTGGCGACAGCCACATTACGAGCGGCTGTCTTACAACTGCAAACACTTTAGAGCGGCGCACGAACACAGATTCCACTTGTTCCTGCAGCCTGGAGAAGCACGAGTGTCTGTTCACCTGGTGCAGACCTCTGCCCTGTTGTTCGCTGCAGCTGCTGCATTCAGGAGTCATTCGTTTTCATCTGTTTTAGTTTTAAACTCTTTATTCGCTAAGCTCTAATTCACGACACGTGGCTTTTGTGTCCGGAGGTAGATGAGTATATTTGTTTTAACTTGACAGTTTTCTCCTGCAGCAGCGGTCGCGAGGCTCCAGCTGCTGTCGCTGGCTGCTGCTGAATAAACAAAGAGCAAACACGTGCATGTGGTGTTTACAGACAGTACACAGAGAACGAGACGGGCAGGAAACCCGCTGTTGACGTGCTCAAGAAGCAATGGAGGTCTTTGCAAGGAGAGCTATTCCCAGAGTGTCAGATGTGTGGTGGCTACATGAGAGCGTTGGAGGGAGGTTGAGCTGCTCCACAGCTGCTTTAATATTCTCTCATGGTCTCAGCCTCTTTTAGAAAACACTGCTGCGGCTGCCAACTGAAAAAAGGAAGTGGAGGGAAGGACGGCAGTTGAAGCAACGAAAGCGATCCACAGATACAGTGACTGCATCCTCCCGTGCAACATGACATCACCGCTTGCTGCACGTCTCTCAAAAAAATAAACCAGTGACTCCTGTTGACGCCGGGTGTGACCCGACAGGTTGCACAACGCTGACGCTCCTGTGTGTTTCTGTGATTCACGCTGACACGGGATCACGCGACAAGGCCTCTGCTTATTTCAGAGCCACCGCAGGTCGTTGGAAGCGAACCTCCGCTAGTCGCACACAGGTAACACGTTTGTGAGCAGTGCTGGCTCACAGGGGGACGTGGTGAGTCAGCTGTTCAGTGAATGAGTCATCAGGTTATTTAGCTTAGCCGATGGTCCATCTGAATGTTTGCAGTGGGGCTGAGCCGGATGCCGACTCACCTACTCACACATGCTTTCTCAGAGCTTAATATAACTTGACATTAGCACATTTATACAACTCTTGCAACAGCGAATAATCCATTGAGATTGTTGTGCCTCACATTGGGCCTGGACGAGCCTGGAGGTTGTAGCTGTGGGCTGTGACTGCAGAGTTGAAGTCAGTGGGCAGCTACGGTGAGTGAATTTACACCAACACACTGGAGCCACTGTGCATGCAGCTACAGTAATTTGATTATGCAACAGCAGAGGCCAATTATCTGGATTTCTATGATCATAGTGGACAGCAGAGAACAGTCCAGTGTATTTGGTTGTCTCTCCCTGATCAGCGACCGTTCAATTATTGTTTACGATGACAAACAAAATCACTTCCATCGTCGACATTTCAAGATCAGGATACTTTCGAGTTTCTCTTGTAATGTTGAGCTTGAAAATGCAGATTCATTCAGTATCATGAAGGTGAGGAAGATGGTTTTTGGATGGGGGAACTATATCATAATTAGTACCTACAGGTTGCTTGTTGTGTTTGAGGGATATGAGTGTGTTCGAGTTGGGTTGTGTCTCAGGATGCACGTAACCACACTTGTGTTTTTGCTGGGTGGAACTGAAGAGCAAAGAAAGTCGGGTTTGCGTTGAATTGACAGAACATGTAAAAGAAATGATAGAAACCTGCAGGTGTTGCACAGAGGGTTAGTTATGAGCGATGCACCGGTGCAGAGCTGCAGTTAAAGGTCTTGATACCAGAAGGGAAGAGAACAGAGACAGTGAGAGCTCATCAGGGAGCAGCGAGCTCATGCTCTCACACTGTGGGTGAGAATCAGCTGCTCTGACACGGTACAAGTCAGAGTCAGAGATCAGTGCCGCCTCCTTCCACTCTGAAAAGCCACTTAAGAGAGCTAAGCCTCTCATCTGACTCCTGGACATGGACTCCTGGACAACACTCAGCCGGCCTCTGCCTTAATCACACTCTGCTCCACTTTGTGCTGAATCAGTCGATTGTATAACGAGTGGATTATCAGGAAATCAATCGATCTTGTTGTTTTTTTTTAAAGCAGATTTTGAGCCATGAAGCAAAGATGCACATAATCTGATACATCCTGCTTTTCACATGACAGGATTCACTGTTTTTTAATCTTTAATTTGAGACTTTGTGTGTTTTTAATTAGACATTTAATATGTGACTGCTGCCGCCAGTGGTTTTTCAATCAAAACAATAACAGGAGACCTAGTCTGATGATGTCGTGAAGCAGAGTGGGATCATGGGAGTTGTTGTCTTCAGCAACATTTCTTGTCTCTTCATATTCTCGATGTTAAAAACATAGACTGCAGTTTATAACATAGGTCGAGTTGTTTTTAGACATTTTAATGAAAACAACACAGTCAATGAGATAATAACTGTAGTTCGTTAGGAACTACAAAGGATGTGAGTCAGTAAAGAACAGGATTTCCTTTGCTTTAAATCAGCACCTTATTTGAATGCTGCAAGTTTTTTGCAAGTCAAATTTCCAGAGAGGTTGTGCCTTTTTACGCAGATGGTGCTCGTGCAGTCACTGAAACTCACGAACCAGCTTTCATCTGAGAAAAACATCTTGAAAAAAAAAAAAATGGGAAGACGACGCTGTTTTCTCTGTACGTTTCTGTGAAACCGAACATTTATGGCAGAGGAGAGAAACCTCTTCAACACAGAGAAGCATAAGGTGTTAAGACACTGTGCTCCCTGCGGGTTGTTTAACAAGAAAAAGAAGCATATTCTGTGCAGCGCATGATGTGTGTGAGTAACGTGTGAAGTCAAAGAAAGGCGAGAGAAATAAAAAAGATTGCTTTGTGTACTTACAGTGTTCTTCTGGCAAATTATCTCCTGAAAGACAAGAGAAAATCCCATTTAGAGACTCAACAAGCACATTTTCTCCAAGCAGCAATATTACAATCTGAATTAAACAAAAGAAAACCCATCAGCTGCACTTAAATTAGATTTAAAGTACCTGAGACAGATTTGATTCAGACCGGTTGACGAACATGAACGGAAAATACTGAAAGATATTTTTTCTAGGAAGGTTGTAGGTTTGAATCCCGGTTTGGCTGAGCTCTTTCTGTGTAGTTTGTCTGTTTGCAGGTGAGCATGGGGTTTTCTGCGTCTACAGACACACAGCTTCGGGGTTAGGTTGAGCAGGAAACTCTAATTCTGTCGTAGATGTGAGTGTGAGGGTGAGTTGTTGTTCATGTCGGCCCTGCGATACGCTGGCCGCTAGTTGAAATTGGCTCCAGTCCCCTGTGACCATTACAGGATAAGTGATGTAAACAATGTTTGTTTCAGAGAAAAGTTGATCTTCTGGCTTATTCTACATAGAAAAGCTATAAAACAGTTTCCCTGCATGGACACCTGCGGACCGAATTTGAATTGAAATCATTCCACTGAGTGATGTGGTAATCCATCCTTTAGTTTTTGTGTAATCTTGATTACAAACAACCCAACCAATAAACAACATAACCCCCCCCCCCTCCTTTAATTCATGAAGCATGTGTATTGTTCTCTCTGACACAAAGAGACTATTTTATTCTTAAGAAAATAAACAGCGTGACCAGCGCTGAGGACACAAAGGCCTCTGTGGGTCTGTGTGTAATTTTAGTCTCGGTGCATTTTGGAGAACTCCACTATTTAAAGAAAAGCCCCTCACTTAGAAACCAGCGCTCTTTGAAACAATTGAACCGCACATCAGTGGAAACCACCAGAGAGAGGAGGTCTTTTCAGGCTGGGCGAGGAGCTCCGACGCCCAGCCAGACGGGTGGGCACCACTGCAGACCACAGGAAGGGTGGGAACGCTCCAGCGACCAGCTCGCATTAACGCAGGGAGGAATGTCACGGAGGGTGTTTGAGATGCAGAAATAAAAGAGCTGCGAACGTGCATTAGCTTTTTATGCCGTGTTTGTGTCGACTGTGCAAACAAACCTAACCTGACAGCTGAGTGCTGCGATATGCTGACTGGACAGTTTGGTCGAGCCCTGTAGACTTCACTACACACACACACTACACACACTCTACACACAATAAAGGCCTCAGTGTTCCTCAGATACGAGTCACCGGCTGCAGGAGGGGGTTTAGTGTGTTCAGCTCTGGCGTCAGACTGTGCGAACTACGTCTTGTCTGACCTACAACAAACACACAGTTGCCATGGGCCGACACACGACCGGGAGATTCTGGGTTCCAGCCCACTCAAGTTATAAACAGATGCTTTAACGGGAGCACAGATTTGTGTCTCTCCATCAAGGACTCTGATAACACGATGATGAGCGATGCGTGCAGGGAGAAATGTTTGCATATTTGGGGGGAATTGTTAACAACCTCTGTACTTCCTCATACTTGTCGGGTTTCCCCCAGGAAGTTGTTGATGGTAAAACACATTTCATGTAAAATGTGGGCAAACAATTACCCAGCATACAGCAGCTGTTCTTCTGCTCTCTTCCCCTTAATGTTAGAGCTTCATTTCAAAGAGGTTTCTTTTATTTCCATGATGTTGGCAGAGGTAGTTTTTAAATTGAAAAGAAATAAGATATAGACTGTAATGAAGTGTTTTATCTTTATCTGTTCACTTCTTTGAAAATAAAAAAATCCTTGTAGAATCCTGAAATCTGTTTTCAATTCACAATCAGCCCTGAAAACCAAAAACCCTTGAGTTGGAGTTTATAAACTACCGTTTAAAAAGAATTAAAACCTTAAAAGATCATGTACAAAAGGTTGAAGAAAAGACATGTCAGTCGTGGACGCACTAACTGACTGAAAGATAAAAAATAAATGAGGCCGTGTTGACGTCCCATCTCAAAATGCTTCATAAATGCGTTTCCTTCCATCAAATTACTGATGCATTTAAGTTCCGCCGCCACCAAATTACATTCGTGTCAATCCCATGTCCGCCCTGTGTCCTTCTAAATAAAGCCTCTCATCACGACCCCCGGTGAATCACAGTGATTGTCTGTTTCGTGGGTTTAAGTGGTTTCTGCTCGTAGCGACGACTCACCTGCAGCGACTGGAGGGAGTCGGAGTTAGTGTCGCAGTACAGGATGATGTTGTTGGCCATGCTGAAGCTCTCTCGGACTCCCAGGTGGTAGAAGAGCGAGGGCTGGCGGAAGGCGTCCGTCATCTCCACCACAGCAAGGTCTGACGGAGACAAACAGGGAGCTGTCAGGTCGACTTTCTCACATCTGTGATACGTTTGTGTAATTCTACAATGGAATATCGTTTTATGTAAAACTCATCATTCTCCATTAGGTCAATGGAGAGATGATAATAAAAGACTTTTTAAATGAGAGTACCCAAAGTGATAAATACTGCTCCAGAATCTTATGTTCTAAATACAACTTCCATCTGAAAACCACAAGACAACAAAAATAAGAGCAGATTTTATTTCAATTACATGAATGCAGTTTTTAAACACAAAGCAATGAATACAATTTAAATGTGCATCATATGATGGAAAACCAAATACCAGTAATGTTTTCATACAAGGTCAAATATGATATTTGTCATCGCATAGAAATTGTTTAATTAAGCTTTAATCATATGTGTAATATTTCATTATAGTTCATCTTCATCATTATAGCTTATCTACCTTCATTATATCAAAGATGAAAGTTACTAACTGCTGATACTTGTTTTTTAATTAAGTCCATCGCAGCTCGGAGGTCAAAGGTTAACGGACTCGTCTGAAACCACATCGCGTGTTTGTCGCGATCACAAACTGTTTTCACCGATTCTCATGTCAGGGAGACAAGAGGAGGCTAATTCAGAAGCACAGCACTTGAAAAAACAGAATAGTTCAATAGATGAGGGAGGTTTGATCCGTCTCAACGGTGCCAGAAAACACAAACACGCTCAATACCACACTGGCTCCGGCTGGACTCCACCTCACGATCAGGATCAATGGGTCAACAGGAGTAAATATTGTCGGGGTGTCACTCACACCAGCGGGACTGTGGCCTCCTGTGAAAAGGTGGAGCGTTCCCAGACTCCTGTGCTCCTGCTGACAGAACACACAGCTGCGTTACATCAGAGCTCACTCATGGGCCGCTCAGCTGAAACGTGCATCACAGCAACGAAAACAAAACTCGGGGAAAATCTAAAATCTGGTATTCAGAGGTGGCTATGATGCTTATTTGGTGTTTAACGCGTCGGTGGACTTGCAGAATGAGCACGGCCCTGTGACGGAGGCCCCTGACATGAGGCTGAGCGGTGCACGCCGCCGCTGACATCGCTGCCAGCCACTGATAACAGGAAAAACACATCAGCCCCGGTGGCTGTGCTCCAGTAATGACAGGGGAGCTCCAGGCATCACAGAGATAACACATCACCCTGTGTTTCTCATCTGTTTCCAACTATCCACCTCTGTGTCAACAAGCACGTCACGCAGAGAAGAGGAGCAGAGACGCTCCGATGCGGCAAAACAAATTCTCCCCTTAGAGTTCATTAGAACCGCTGGACGAGAAGCACCGAGACGTTCGGTCGGTGATTCAGTCACTCAGATGGAGATTTGACCTGTTTTGACCGGTCGTCTCTGAACCGATGGGCTCGATGTGGACTTGTTCACACAAGTAATTCCAACTTGTAACTGTAAAGCAAAACCTGTGAGATAAATACGCAGGAGGAATTTAAAGGATTGTGTGAAAAAAGAAAGTGATTTTATGAACATCCGTTGCAGACAGGGCAGGAAACTGTAGGAAAAACAAAAAGATTCCACATTGTGTGTGACGCCGACTCTGATCAACATGGATTTTTTTTAAGGGGTCGATGCCGCTGCCAATATTAGGGAGTGAAAAAATATTAAAACCAAGATTTGACAGTCAGACAACCTCTTTGTCTGGCCCTCGCCAAAAACAACCCCACACACTCCTGCCCACATTACCCAGACGTTATGGCAAAACAAATATCTGCAACTGAACATAATAATAATTACCAACACTAAACAAATATTCGTTTTGGCTCCTGCACTCACGTCGGCTAACGAGAACAATTTCCATGCTAACAACAGGTGCTGCAGCAGCGACGAGAAGTGTGTAACAGTCCTTCACAATAAAATCTCTCTGATCGAGCCTCACAATTTGACTGAGCAGTTCACATCCAGCAGTGGATCTGTGGATGGAGAGAGGAGCCAATCAGAGGAGGCCTGACTGTAGCAGTGAAGAGCCAGGAACCAGATACTTGTTGCTCCCCGCCCCCTGGTGGTTCTCCTCCTCCCCCCCCCCCCCCCCCCCCCCCCCCCTCCCCCAACCTGACCTCTGCTTAAGAACCACTTGTTACTTCCATATCTGTGACGCATTTCTATCAGTGATATCGTCAAATATCAAACAAATATTTAGACTCGTGCACGTTTGGATACATTAGCAGAGGTTCCTGGCTTGTACCGGAAGATTAATGACACCAGGGGGAGTTTGTTGCATTTAACCGAAAGTGAAATTCTTGATCTCATTGCAACCCCGAGCACACATGGAATAAAAAGGTTGTTTGTCTTCTTCAGTGCTTTTTACTTTATGCTCTGAGCTCACGAGGTGCAACCGAATGTCAACATGCCGACAGCACCGGCCGTCTGATGAATTAAAGATAAGCTTTGTCTCGTTTCTCTGCAAACAGGAGACCCATCAATATTACATCTGAGCAAGACTTTCACTCAAAATATATTCAGAGGCTGCAGCTGGCTGGAGTAATGTTGCATTGCTCTCCACCTGCTTGGTGGGAATGGAAGGAAAACGTTGGCTGACTGTGACAGGGCAGGACTGGTGGATGCTGGTGAATAAAGGGGGACACGGAGGACTGGCTGCATAAAAGGGAGACGGAAAAAAGAAAAAGGCAAGACGCAAGCGAGTGCTGTTCTGCAGGGAGAGTCGAGGGGAGCAATCAGCCGCTGTTTTGTACTCAGACCGGAGCCCCTGAGAGCTGACAACACTGTTAGCGTGTGATGATGTCGTCAGTGAGGAGCTGAGAGTTGACGCACACGTGTTGAACAATAACAAAACGCAGCACGTCACAGGCTTCAATAAGAAGCTGCATCAACAGGATTGTCAGATGTATTTTTTTTTTTTATTCTAAAAGGCCGGTGGAAGATGAAGTGTAAGAAATGTTCTCATGTGAGCAGAAGCTCCAGGGCACAACAAGAACACGCTGCTACACAACTCACATGCACCCAGACTCAGAGACACAAAACAACATGAGTGTGGTTTTTGTGTCTTGGCAGTATTTTTATGTTTGTCTTGTAGTTTTACATCTTGTGACTTTATTATCTGTGCAGTTGCTGCACACGTCTCTCTCTTTTCAGCCGTTTTGTGTCTTTTTCTCTTGTCAGTGTTTTGAGTTTATCCGTGGTCATTTAATTGGCTTTCCAACACACACACTCTGTTCCGGGGCCCCCACCCCCGTCGTGCCCTCATTTATTAATCCTGCCAGGATGATATGACAGGACAACATGTGGTTTCAGACTAAATGAGTTTGCTCTTGTGTTGAAGGAAATGTTCTGTGCAATTGAATGTGTCACACATTCGCTGACTTTACTTCTCTTTTACTTTACTTCCTCTTTTCTTTCCGCACTTTTACTTCAAGTGTTAAAAAAAATATTATAATTGATCGACTTTTTTTTTTTCCATTCATAAATCGACCAACCTGGAAAGAAGTGTGTGTGTGTTTGTGTGTTTGTGAGTGTGTGTGTGTGTTGCAGCGCTGCCAAGAAGACTGTAGTGTTAAGAGTTCACTGATGAAACCATTTGCTTGCATGAGGCCTTTTGTGAGTTTGTGTATTGTGTTACATAAACAAAGAGAATCGAAAAGCTTTATTTGTCTGTGACTGCAGGGTCACGGACGGAGCTGAGAAAAGTGCTTCTTGTCTATTCACACAACTCAAAGCAAGAATTGTGAACAAATGAATGAGCAAATGAAGGTTGTAGATTAATGAAGATTAGATTAATGGAGACATATGTTTTTTCAGAGCTCTTCTTCTCCACAGAAAACGCTGAAGCTCCTGAAACACAGCCTCTGACGCGCTCGTGTTTTGCAGCCTCGTGATAGACTTCTTGAATTCCTGCCGACAAGCATCACACAGACCGAGACTGTGATTCAACGTCCGAGCGTCTGAATGTTTCTGGAGAACGTTCACGTCGTGATTTCTTACTTATATAGCATCACAGCTGCCAACACGGAGTCACCTGACACACCCAGCGCCCCTGTGACGGCTCGGTCAGCTGATCACCTCGTGTGTTGTTGTAATATTTGCAATCACCTCAAATCTGAGGAGTAAACAAAGTGTGTCTGCCCGAGGGGGGGGGGGGTCAGACAAATGGGGGAGAAAACAAGCTCAAAACATGCAAAGTGATGTCCTGATAATCCTGCAGCGGGAGCCGCTACTAAACTAAATTGATTCCCTCGCCTACCGCTCAAAGCAGAGGAGGGAGAATAATTCAATCCTCTCTCGCACTGTTTGGCTTTTGGCAGCACCCGGCCTTTTGCGGCAGCTTCCTGAAGCCCAGTGGTGCCTCTGAGGGGGGAGACAGGGGGAGAGAAGAAGGAGGGAGGTGATGGGTGATGAGCAGCATTGGAAATCTGCATGAATTTACCAGAGGATTGTTCTATTGGCTGCTCTTCAGAGATCCTTCACGTGCTCTTTTTCGGACAGAGGGGATCTGCTGAATATTACAATCACAGCAGGATCCAAATGGCTCTGCAGACTGTTCCAGTGGATTATTTCAGCGACTTCTCCTCTGTGCAGCGAGCCAAAAGGGAAGCGCACAAAGAAAATCTATTTTAATGAGTGTGGGCTGTTGCGAGATGTAAACAGTTGCTCCTGAAAGCCGTCAGCTATGAACACCACTGAGGCCATGTGCTCCATCTATGCTAAACATGCTTAAATCATGTACAGTGCATAAGACAAAACAACTCTAGTGTCCACATCTGCAACAAACAATTCTTTTCAATCGCTGTTTAATTAACGGACACGTCTGCAAATACATATTCATACATGTTGAAAACAATCAATGTATAGGATGTGTGAATATTAGAGCCTGAGCACCTATCACAGACATTTTATTGGCATTTATTTAAAGTTCTGTATATTCAGTTGTATTTATGTATATTTCTTTATTTATAGTATAAGATGGGTATAAGTACAAGAGGGTTTATGG